AGCAGCAGCTCCGGAATCAGAGGATGCTACAAACACGCGGTCAGGAGCAGCAGCCCCGGTACCTGTCAACGACGGCGGAGACGGTGATGAGGATCTGGAATCCGACGGCAAGGCAGGAACCGCAGTGGACTGGCTGCGGGTAGTCGGCATGACTGCAAATGAGAAGCCACTGTTAGTAGTGAACAGTAACGAGGATAATGACTGACCATGCGCATAAGCTTTATAGGAACCAAAGGGGGCGGCGCGAAGAACAAAAAGATCGAGCCAGATGTCATGAGTCATGAGGCCTGCAAAACCTCAATAGCTTTCATGTCTCATGTCCTTACATAGGACTCAGCACCCTCGCTGGGAAAAATAAAAACGAGCGGAATGGCGTGCAGTATTCGAACTATGTAGTGGCGAGTTCACTGACGAAGCGATGGGGGGGGGCATTACTGACAGAAAAAAAAACTGGGAATCGCGTCTCGGCTGGAGCCTCGGAAGGTTCGCTCCCGTACGCCAAACGGGAGAGTCAACTGCACTGCTCAGGGGTTAACCCATATATCTAACGCAAGTTGCAACTTGCTCATGGTCCGGACTTCACTCAACTTCAATCCCACCTGGGAATGCACAAGCTCTCTTTAACGGCCATCAGGCCCCGGGGCATAGCTTTAATCTCAATGCTCGAAACTCCGAATTCGGATGCACGCTCTGGTCCTAGGAATCATGGAAGCAAAGCAAAAAGCGAAGCAAATGAAAAGAAGCCAAAAGGCCATGTCCAGCTGGACGTGAAAAACAGACAGTCATCTGGTTGCAGCTGCATAGTTATACCGCGGAAGAATGTCGTCGAAGAGTTTTTTGAGTCTTGTCAGACGACAGAGCAAAAAGAGATGTGCAGGTGCATGAAAAGGAGGCAAGAAATTGGCGACTTAGGAGTGCATTCGCGGACAGACGGCACGATGACTAAGTTGTGTATTTGACCGGCTCGTATTGAATGTCATGCTGGCGGCGCGTGCTCCTTTAAATTACTCATAATGTGACCCCATAGTCGCGGTAAAGTTAGGAGGACAGGAAAGGCGAAAAGAAATTTGTGAAGAGAAGAAAGATCGAAAAAGAGGGCTGTAAACCTGGCCTCTTGGCTAATGCTGGCCCGCAGAAACGAAATGAGGTGGCCAGACTCATCCTCGTTCGCAGGCTCAACAGAGCCAATTGAAAGGTGGACTCACCTGCCTTCCTTGGTGTCGGACTCGCTGCTACCACTAATGTTGTCGACGTTTACCATTCCCGTGTTTCAGTGAGACTGCCATAGAAGCCGTAGTGAATATCAGTTTATTAGTACCGTAGCTAATCAGAGATCAGTCCGGTCGTGGATCGTGAATAGGAAGGAGCAGGGCCCAGAGGCGACGTCCGCGGGAGGCGAGGTGGAGGTCCAGGCCCGGACCAAGTCCTCTTGGTAGACGATTGTCGAGTGTCCCCCTCTGTCGTTCTGCGCGAGCCTTAAATACATCGGATGAGTCAGCTGTTGAAGCCTCACCCGCTCTCTCACCTCCCAGCCTTCAAGCTTCTACTTAGTCATCGTCACTTCGTAAGAAACCCATTGAAGGAAAGAATAGTTTACCTATAATTACTGGTACTACTCATGAAGTTCTCTAACCCTTACACCTCCCCTCATTACGGAAAGTCCGTCCTCGGACTTCAAAGTAAAATAAGGACATTGCTTACCTGATAAACTGCCGAAATTAAAAGGAACCGTTTAGTCGAGTAGATCAGGTAGTGCGGATGCCGTAGTTACTGCGCGTCGATTACGAGCCCATTGCAGGATATCGTGCCAGTATGATAGGGTTGTCAACGATTGCTCATGGCCCAAAACGAATTGTCCGTGCCGACACCTGGAAAGCGCGACATTCAGCCGATGAGGATCGTTGAGGAATTCGGCGCGGTCCGCCTCAAACCCTGTTCGCGTCGTCAACAAGATGACAATGTCCTTTTCTCTTCCTTGCACTGAATCCACTGTGTACAAATCAATGCCGTTGTTCTTTGCGAACTGAGAAAGGACGCGGGCCTGCTCCTTATAAAACACAATAACAGCGATCGACGAAGGTTGTACGTTTTTCCGACAGAGACCCAAAACGAGCTGACGACAGATCTCGGCTTCGGCCTGATTGCTGTGCGAGCCGCTGAGCGCTTTGGCCGACTTGCCTAGCACTTCTATGAAGAGAAATGGGAGCTTGGGGTTGGGGCATCGGACAGCCGATAGAAGCATTTGCCGATCCTCGGCGCGAGTGCCGCTCACCAGAGTGTGGTCGTAGAAGATCAAGTTGGGCAGGTCATTCAAGAGGGGGTGGGCGCGGAAAGTAGTTGTCAGTGGTGCACAAGGGACTCCTTTCGCTAGAAGAATATTCATAATTCCCTGAGCTCCGAACCGTGCCGGGTTCGATGATCGTGGACAGCGGGCGTGCGGCTCCAGTTGATGGATATCCCCCACGTAAATATGCCGTGCTTGAGGGATATGAGTGACCAACGCGACCAGTGCCGGTTCTGGGATTTGGGAAGCCTCGTCCCCAATGATAAGAGCGAACTGGTCCATCCATTTCCGGAAAATACCGTCCGCGGCTACAGAGTTCAGTAGCGCCGATGTGGTAATGATGAGGATGGCTGGGGGACGCACGTCGAACATAATCGCCACCGTGTCCCGCGTCAAATCCGAGATGTCGCGCTCCGCTAGTCGATACTCATCACGCTCGGCATCCGAGAGCTCCAGTACTAGGTCTCGATTGAACATGAAACGTTCCAAAAGTTCGCGGCCTCGCTTGTACTTGAGGCATGTGGCGAGAGCGGCGGGGGAAAGGTGATCGCCATAGTCCTCTGGTAGACGCT